ATGAATAGGATGGTTAGGAACGTTGCCGACAGCCATAACCTCGTTCATACTTGCACGGAGGGACATGATCCTTCAAGCAATGGACGGGCAGAATCGGCCGTAGGGTTGATTAAGGCTGCTATCCGTTCTCGTCTTTCCACTCCTCCAGGGTTCAGCCCCTGCTATTGGTCTCTTGCTGGGTTGGATGCCGGAGAGGGCCTTCTGCGCTCAGAGCTCGCTAAATTTGACACGTCAGTCAGATCTTTGATTCCTTGGGCCATGCAGGTGTGTGTACGTGAGAAGAAGAATGAAGAGAACCATTGGTCCAGTCGGTTTGTCAATGGTTTCATCGTGGGTCCTTCCAGTTACACCCCAAAGGGTTACACCATTGCACTGGAGCCTCTCGATAATCCGAAGCTACTGGTATCTACAACTATCAGGTTGAACCGGCCGTTCAACGCTCTTCCAATTACACTTCCAGGCGAGGTTTGGCGGGTTGATCCCGATCGCCGGATTCGAGGCAAGACCAGCCTGCTTACCCCGGGAGATACGGACGCCGTGGAGGAAGACTTAGCTGTGGTTGGGGGAGAGGTCGCACGTGTGTCGGAGGCCGGGCACGAACAGATACATGAGGCACCTGTTGCAACGGTGGCAGAAGCGACGGCGGATGTCGTTGACGATGGGGATTTGTTTCCTGAACTTTTTGCTCCTTTGGCCCTGCGCAGCATCCGTGGGGGAAACAAGGGTTTTAGTGTTGAAGTGTCTGAGGGGGTAGCTAGAACCATGCTGGACAAGCATCAGGTGGATACTCTTGAAGTTGCAAGCGTGGTGTATGCATCTCTGTGCAGCACGGCGAAGAAAGGCAGCCGCAATATTGATTCTGACGTGCTGGGCAACGCTCTGTCATGGGTCATATCCTTCGGGGCTTATTGCCGAGGATCGCAGGTTGGCCTTATTGTGGCTACTAGGGTGCGTCCCATGTTGCTTAGGCTGTTAAATCGCTTGGTTGCTAGCTTCGATGCCGCGCATGAGTATACAGCCTTGCGGATTTCCTTCAATGCAGTGGCTGACTTGCATCGAGATGTTCATAACCAGCATGGCTACAGAAATATGATTGTATGTCTTTCCGAGTTTACTCGGGGCAGGGTCATCACACCAGATGGGCCAATGGAGTACAGCGGTGGGAAGGCCTACATCGATCCGCTTGTTCCGCGTGGTGTGGAGCCAGCTGTAGGACCTCGGTTGGTCGTTGTTGCGTACACTCCGGGCTTTGCTACCAAGCTTTCCGTTTTGGGTGTTGATGTTCACACTTTGTTGTCCTTAGGCTTCAACGTTCCTGTTCCCTATCGCCCCATCCCCTTTGAACTTAAGCCTTCTTCAGGGCCTTGCAAGCTAAGGTCCAGGATGAGGCGCAACGTGGGGGAGTCTGCGGTACAGGTGTGCTTTAGAGCACCCGCGCGCGGCGGTGGAGCCACAACAGGAGATAGGAGAGGACAGCACCCGTTACTTTGTGTGTGCCGTTTCATTACAACCCGATTGGACATCGAGGGAGAGTCTTGAGCCTGAGGTTGATATTGAACGTGGTGATCGCCACGACGTGCTAGACTATTACGCTGGCTATCGCCGTGTGTGTGTGTGTGTGTGACTCATTCCGGACTTACCGATGTGATCATCAGTCGCAAAATGCCATGTCAGTACTTGGGTGGATGGCCCAGTATGAAAGCATGAGAGTGGAACCTACAAGTAGGATGATTAAGATAGCCCGGCTTAGGAAGTTGGCTGAGGATATCGATCCCGATTTGGATGTCACCGCCAGGACTCTTATGCAGTTGCAGGTTGAGGCTGCGCTCGAAGAGTCGGGGACCAATGATGTTCCCATCAGTGGGGAGGCTGCTCCAGATACCTTGTTGCAAACTCAACAGGTCTCCTTAACAGAAGTGCGGCAAGACTTGTGTGCATGGAAGGATGCAATCGTGGAGGAACTTACTGCTTTGATTACCGTGCATCAGGCTGTTCGCTTGATTACAAAGGCGGAGTTGCAGGAATTGGAGGCCAGCGGTGTAAGGGTGCAGGTAGTGCCGGGGAAACTAGTATTCTCCATCAAACCTCCGGATAGGCGCAAGCGAGCGCGCCTGGTGGCTTGTGGGAATTATTTCCCTGACGCTCAGCAGTCGCACACAGGCCTTATCAACCCGGCATCGTCAAGTCCATCAGGTCCATCTTCTACCGCTGCCAAGGCAGAAAGTCGGAGCGACATTTATGCCTCTGGCTTGGAGGCTGAAAGCCTCCGGCTACAACTACGATGGGCGGCAGGTTCCAGTTGGGACGCAGTCGTCATTGATGTGAAGACGACATTCCTGCTGGCGCCAGCTCGACGACGCGACGGCTCGAAGATTGCGGTTGCAGTTCCCCGCCTGATTGTAGATGCGGGATTGCTGGATCCTCAAACCTATCTTCTGGTAGATCGAGCACTTTACGGGCACGTTGAGAGTCCAGCTGATTGGTCGGTGTATCGGGATGGCACCTTGGCAGAATGGTCGTAGACTGGACCTGGACAGAGTTTGCGCAAATCCCTCTATTTGGTTTGTGCTAGAACCAGCCATCCTGGGAGTGTATGTAGATGATCTCCTATTGACTGGGGCTACAGACGAACTCTCTTTCATGATAGCTGCTTTTGGTGGCCTCTGGAAAAGCAGTGAGCCTAACTGGCTGAAGGATGGTTTGAGGTTCTGCGGCGTTGAGGTTGTGCGGGGTAGCGATGGAGCGTATCACCTTCATCAGACCTCGTATTTGAGCGACTTGGTAGCCCGCTATACCTTGCCAGTTGAATCGTCTCTTCCGGACTTTTAAGACCGGCTACGAGGAGGAAGAGACGTTGAGTATTCCTATTCTCCGTCGGGCCCAGAAACTGGTAGGCGAGCTCCTCTGGCTATCGGGTAAAACACGTTTGGACATATCATACACCGTGTGCAAACTTGGCCAATACTGCTGCAAGTTTCCTTCTTCGGTATACAAGGACGGCTTGAAGGCGCTGGCGTATTTGGCGAGGACCTCCCATCTACAGCTCCGGTATGGATCCTTTGATGAACCTTGGCGCGGCCAGGAGCTGCTGCGATATGCAAGGAGTCGGTGTACGGTTGAAGGATGGTCGGATGCGAGCTTTGGTCAGGATGACGGTGGCCGAAGCCATACAGGTATTCTGCTGGTAATTGCAGGTGGTGCTGTGAGCTGGCATAGTAGCCGGCAGACACTAACGGCACTATCTCCGGCGGAGAGCGAGATCATCGCTGCCGTGGACAATATGGTGTTGGCGAGAGCGTTGGCCCCTCTCTGGGCAGAGATGTGTCGGCAAGATTTGCGGTGGAGTCAGTGTGTCGACAATTCCGCATGTATCCAGCTGCTTATCATTCCAGGCGGAGCTTGGTGCACGCGCCACCTCAGATTACGTGCGAGGCACTTTCATGAAGCTATATTACAGCTACATCCGACGAAGCACTGGTGGTTATGGTTCAACATCTGCCGGGTGTTGAAATGCTTGTCGATTGCCTTACGAAGGCAATGCCGGAATCCCGGTTGTTCTTTCTTCTTGACTTGATAGGGTACGTATGGGGTGAGAGCACGGATGCATCACATGATGAAGCAATCCATGTGCAGCATGAGTCTAGTTGCGTTTATGCCACACCGGCCACCGCTTTCCCTAGGCTTGCCATTCTGGTAGCTGCACTGGCTATTGCTAGTCAGGTGGTGCAGGTCCAAGGTGCCCGGGCCCAGGATGATGACAATGATGACTCTCTTTGGGCTCTTTCGGAGTCTGAAGTTCTGTTTGCCGTTGCTCTGATCGTCGCATGGGAAGTCGCCAAGTTTGTTGCGCTAAAAGGCATCAAGGGCGGAGCTGGGGTCCTTGGTTGGTTCCGGGCTAGGTCGTGTGCCAGTAGGAGCCTCACTGGCAGTTACAGACGGTCGAAACAGGACAGCATCAGGTGCAGTCCTACCGGAGTGCGGCTTCGCGGCGCACTGAACAAGAGCGGCTGTATGGAAGGCAGCTCTTCGGATGTAGCTTTGGCTGGGTGGATGGTTGGGTTGACCCTGGACCTTCCGATCGATGGTTCCACGATGAAGCGAGCCAAGTGTTGGTTCGTTTCCACAGCTCTTCGAGATCGCAGCTGTTTCGTGCACCAGCAGAGATAGTCAAATGCTTTCCGTATGTGCATCTTACAGGTCGTCGGAAGACCTGGTATCTTTTCGACGGGCATGAACCTGACTACATACTTGACGCTACTGAGTGTGGGGCTCGTAAGCTGTCTCATCTCTGGACGGGACGCACGGAGTTTGAAGTTGTGCGAAGGTGACCGTGAACTCGTGAAAGGCCTTGAGTCTCTATAGCCGGTCTTGTCTGTTTCTGTATAGATTCTCTGGCTACTTTTCCACTTTTAATCTCTTGAAGCCTTGCCGCTCGGAGGGTGATCCTTGGGAGCCTTGGGATCCGTATTTCTTCGTAGCTCATGTATGCCCGTCATTTCTGAACTAGCTTACCCTATTTTAAATCCCAGCGTAGCTGGGAGGGGAGTGCAAATGCTCACAGAGCATACCTGGCTAGTGTTGGGCAGAGACAGAGCTTGGAACATACCAGGCCAGTGTGGTGGACGGAGATCCAGCACCTTGCACACCAAGGTCGAACAGTTCACTGCACACTGAGGCCTTTTTAGCATCGAGAAA